AGTTGGACATAACAATATCCGAAGATATTGGCACAGAATCTTTGAAAACTAACAAATAAAATAACTTTAGTTTAATTTGTTTCTCCCACCCAAGTTACAGATTAGCAGCTAATTCTTATAATCGGTCACTAACCTGTAACACTACTTCGGTAACACTATTATGCTACAGATTTTGACGTAATTTTCTTTTGGTATTTCACAAATGCGAACAAAAACAAAATATTGCCGTTTGATATAAAAACACGACGCCGGATTTTATTACGTCACTAGTACATTCTACGTGTTGTGAAAACCAAAACTTTTATCGTTATGTGGCCTTATAACATTATCGTCAATTTTAAATTTTATGATAAAACTGCCAACCAGTTGGTCCAATGTTAAATGATTTGCGTACGTAGTTATATTTGCCATTGTAATTAACTTATTACGTACGCAACGCACTTTATTTCAAATCCTACAAAGCATTGTTAATATTACATGTACGTAATGCGTTATCGTTCAAAATTGATAATTGAAATAGTATATCTAACAATGAAAATAGATGGTCGATTTATCATTATCTTAATTTACTTCGCTAAAGCAGCTTCAATATCAATTCCTTCACGAACTTTACAAATTAATTTATATTCTGGTGGAAGATACTCGAAATCGTGGCCTATTCCTGCATCAAGATTAATCTTTATCGGTTCATTGGTAAATAGATCTTTTTCCAATTCAAGATCAAATACTGCTAATGTATGACCGATAAATGTGAACATATTACAGTAAGCCAAGTTGATTCCTAAGCATGTCCGGCGTCCACGACTAAATGACTATTCAAAAAGAATATTATAGACTGACTACTTATAAATAGACGTGATTTAATAACTGATAATTACCCATGGATCAAGAATCTCGTCGTATTTTTTTAAATGTCCATTTTCATCCAAATATCGCTCAGGACGAAATTCATGTGGTTCGTCATGAAGTAGAGGGTTAGAGTGAATCGCATTGAAATTAATTACGATTCCAGTATTTGCGGGAATATGATATCCATTATAAATTTCATCCTGAGAGCTGCAATGTGGGGGACTTAAATTTACAACTGTCCTGTTTATTGAAAAATTTTATTAAATCTCTAATAAGAAGAAAATGAATAGAATAAAATACTTTCTTACCTAAATCGTAAACTTTCTTTTATAGTAGCTTTCAAATAATGTAAGTCAGCATTATGATCCATAGTATAAAACTTTCCTTTACCAACAACTCTATCTAATTCCTGTTGAATTTTTCGTTGTACTTTAGGATGATTGGCTAAAGTAGCAAAAATCCAATCTAAAGCACCACTCATTGTGGAAACTCCCGGAATCATTAAATCATTACAAATAGTCAGCACATCATAATTATCAAATATATATTTTCCATTTTCATCTTTTTTGAATTCGTGTGCATGTGGAGAGGCGACGAATGATGGGTCGACCGTAACCGATTTTAAAATTTCAGCGGAAACACAAGTTTCGGAATCTGGTCCGTTTTCGATCATTCGATGCTTGATTTGTTGTAATAGACCATTAGAGAATTCATCCATTTCTGCGACTAATTGTCGTGCTTCTCTCTCGAAGATCTTTTGAAGACCAAAATATTTTAACCAGCTAAATACTGATAGTAGAGTGCCTTTGACATCCGCAAATGCCATAATCTTTTTTACTAAACAAGAATAACGTTCTAAATTATCGGAATCATTCGCTAATTCACCAAATATAATCGACGTTAGTATTTTTGTAATACAAAATCTAATATCAGCGGTAGGATTTTGAGTAATATTATTGCCAGACTTCAAATGTAATTGTTGCAAAAATCCTTTCACGTTACAGGATATTATTGGAAAACACACATTATCGATTAGGTGAGGACGAATTGCTTGCATTTCGAGTGTTCTCATTGTTTTCCACCAGCTGGAATTCTGGAATGAGCTTTAATAAATCTTTTACGCTGGATACGTAATTAATAATTAAAAGAAATCAAGTTACCGGAGAGTGACCTACGCTTTTGCCGTTATGAAGGAGAATATCAGATAGACCAAATTGCTTCGTGAAAGATAGTTTATTTAGTTATTATTCACATTCTTAAACTAACAAGTAATAATATCAAATACCAGGCGCGAAGAAAAAGTAGCACCACGTGAGACAAATAAATCTTTTGCTATCTTATGGTCATTAATAACAATCCAAGTAAGTTGTCCCAAATGTACTTTAAAGATCGGTCCAAAAGATTTAGACATTTTTATGAATTTTTGGTGCATTGATGATAATCCAAGTTGATGTAAATTTCCGATAATTGGTAAAGGAGTTGGTCCTGGCAACTCAATATAAATTTCTTTTTGTTTATTTTTCGATCTAATTTTCCAATAAAATCTTAACATGAATAAAAAAACCAGTGACAGATAGATTTCAATCATTAATTCCATCGTTAAAAGCTTTTTAAAAAAAAGAAAAATTATGTTTTCGCAAAACAATTTTAACGTTAAAATTCGTAGACCATTATATATATATGTACATGGAGTATCGGAGTACATTTGTAAAACTGCCTCCCACTTTCGGGATGGCAAAAAAGTCAATGACGGGAGGTACTTGCATACATAATTTTATACCAAATGGCTATCGACATTGTTACGTATAAACTCGAAGTTATCACAATCACCGAAACTATAACCTAAATAAGGGCTTTTTAAATTCACTAATGCTAAAAAATTTTTGCTTTTACGTATTGGTTAAAATTAATGATCAATTACTATATATGGTCTATATTTGTCTATGGAATTACATGTACGTATTACGTAATTCATTATAATGTCATGTACAATTCCGCCAAGATGAATAACGATAAGCTACCGTTACCTTTTTTGCACAATTTTAAATTTGAAAACTTAAATGTTAACTTATTTTGGGTTTAACTTTATTAAGCTTACCGTTACAGTCAACTCTCGTTAAACCGACCATATTTTTAACGAGAGTTGACTAGATATCTTTAAATAAATAATAAATATAATATCATATAATATGGTTAACAGTTCACATATTTTATCTATATCTATATTATATATTTAATTAAAATACATAGTTGACTCTCATTAAATCGAAAAAAATAGTCGGTTTAACAAGAGTTGACTGTATATATATTGCATGATTTTACGGCTTAAAAATTAGGGTAGCTTATTTACGGTAAACAGAAGTGCATTAACAGTATCACAAGTTTATCACCTTGGTAAACCTGAATCGAATTGAAAACCTTCAAAAGATATTAAGTAAGCACGTTAGTTTACCACAAGGTTGACACGTATTAAACTAACCCTTTTACCTATGTGTGAGCATTAGAAGGCATACAAATAAATTGAATTTAGCAAATGTGACCTACTGTATTGCAGTGTTGTGATGGGACAGGAACACGGTTACGGACAGGCCGGCATTTTGTTTTTACTTGATGTCCGCGTCGATTTGTATTAATGTCAGCAATCACTTGTTAATTCCAGCCAAAGGACTTCAGTGCTAGCCTATGTTGAGATTGACTTGTACGTGTCCTGCGGATGTGGGGTTTCGGTGTCCGCCAAAAATCGCGGACAATGCTTAAAGTTAATGTTTGTCTTACAAATACATACGTACGTTCATTATTGAATTCTGCATGAATTACATGCATATCGCCATTACGTATAGTGTTATGCATGAAAAACTACAGATAACTGCCAATTAGAGGCGCAGACATTAAAATATGAAATAACTTAAATCATGCCGTAACTAAGGTTGCAATCCAAAATTAATATGACGTAACTAGGTTGCAACCCTTGATCTGAGAAATGTTTGCAGCTCAGTCCTCTATTGTCTTGCAAGTTTTGTCAAAAAAATGCGAATATATATAATGCAAGCATAAAACTGTAAATTAAAGTATTTTTAAAGTGTCTCAAGTTTACTAAAAATCAGTTTAAATCACGCTGTCTTGCAATATTTCTATGATCAATTACGATTTTCTTCATAGAGATCACTAATTAAACAAAACTTCATAATAAAATGTAAATGGGGGCTACATCATCTTTTACAATAAAAATTATTGCCAAAATTAAAATGCAAAATTTTAGTTTTTCTATAGTAGCCAAATAGTAGTCAAAATTATACCAAAGCAATTATAGAAAGGAAAAATATAATAAATTCATGGGATTATAGTTTTGAAACATAGCATATTGTCTAATAAAAAATAATTGTAATATGCTTAAATTCTTACATGTATTTGCAAAACTAAATATTATAAGCAACAAAAAGTTAATTCTTTCTATGAATTCGATTTTAGATTTAAGCTGTTCTATCGTAGCGATAAACAAGTACGTATTTATTAATAGATTATGAACATCTATTAAAGTCGCATTATTATTTTTATAAATATTATCATTGTCAGCATCTCTAGAATTCTTTTTTATAGCAGTTGGAAACTTAAAGTGTTCATTCTTCACCTTGGCCAAGAATTTTGTATAGAATCTCGAAGTCTTTGCTATCGGTTACCTGCGTTGATAGTTGTGGTGGTAGTGGTCATATTTGTTGTTATATGAAATTCCAAAAATCACTGCAAGTTCAGTTCACGAAGGATCATAAAAAGCCTCTTCGCACCTGAGAGATGGATAAATTTGTTGCTGTCGCTGTTGTTATTAAAAGACATTGCTGAAATGCTGTTTATGTGGAAAATTAAAAACATTTGATTGTTGTATCACAAAACAAACAATAATTGTCTTATTGAAAACATGTCGAAAGCAAATCTCCCTATATATCTCTTCCACATACATATCATAATATTCCAGATTTCCAATGGGCAAAAAATTTTCTGCATACAAGCGCTACCAATGACACTGAAATAACAATACAGCTGAAAATCTAAAAAGATTACCACTTCGCCTGGAAAACCATCATTTGGAAAACTCTTTCTCTTTCTTCAGTGGTGGTGATCACTATAGAGTCAAAACCACTATAAGAGTCAAATATAATCATATCATTTCTGCACAAACAAATACCAGAATTTTATCCACTAAATTTTGTAATAAGTTTAGTATAGAATTTGTGAACTTTAGTAAAACTACATTATATCATTTAATCAATAATTAATGCATCAGTATCTGAAATCAAATCAATATTAAATACTGTTATATGTTATATGTTTATTGCCTAAAAGGGAATTGGGAACGATTATTTGATTAAGCGTTACAATTTTAACTTTGCGATTTTTGAATCAGGTCCTATGCCGGTATTGACGAGCATCATTGATTGCTGGGTTTGTGTGTTGAGAGTGTGAGAGATAGGGAAAGTCGAAGGTAAGAGTATATTGTGCAAAGATTGCGATCTATTAAACTCTAATTTAACTATTGCTTTTTCTAGATTGAAATCTGAAGACTCAATACTACGATTAGCAGATCTATTCCAATACGTTGCCTTTTCTGAATCAAGGGTCTAACCATATACACGACAATCAATTATGGGGAAAAAAGGAAGACAAGTTTTATTTTACTTGGAGAAGTTTGTACGCAAACAATTCTCTTTCTATACATTCTGATGCTTTACAAACTACTTAATAATTCTTTTATCTATTTATTAGGGAATCAACGTATGCAAGGGAGAGATAATGTTTGGTTAATATTTGGGACGAAATTATTTGTGCGAAAAATCTCAGTGATTGGATTATTTAATAAATGATATCATAATGATGAAAAGAAGAAGAATAATAATAAGAGTTCAGACAATGATGACAATGCATTGTGTAAAAAAAGAATAAAAAGGCAAATAGAGGGGGAGAGAATGGTAAGAACCTTAGCGTGTATCATGACAGGGTTTGTCAAGAAAATTGTGTAATCATATACATACATGTACAGAGCAGAGGAATGACAAAAAATTAGGACGATCATTAAAACCTTGATATTTGAGGATAATATGATTCTATAAGCTTTAATATAATAACCTTTCATATGATTAATAAACTCATTCACCAAGTCAAAATTTAAAATACAGCAAAATCATACCAATGAATATTTTATAAGAAATATAAACCAAATTTTATTCACGAACTTTGAATGAGCAATTGGTTACAATGTCAAGTTTTAACATAGTAAATGCTTATAATAAAAAATGTTCACAAGTTTCTATTTTAGATATTTGTAAAGTTTCATAAAGTTTTGCTCATTAATTCATGAAATATTATGCTAAATATAAAATCTTAAGGTGAATCTATATATTAATATAAATAATGTATTTGCCATACTATCTTCATTTTCATTAGCTAAATCAATAGTTATTTACTATATTTAAAGTTTAAGTGTATTTTTAGCCAATAAAAATAGCTAATGAAAATGAAGATAGTATGACAAATACATTATTTTATATTAATATATAGATTCATCTTAAGATTTTACATTTAGCATAATATTTCATGAATTAATGAGCAAAACTTTATGAAACTTTACAAATATCTAAAATAGAAACTTGTGAACATTTTTTATTATAAGCATTTACTATGTTAAAACTTGACATTGTAACCAATTGCTCATTCAAAGTTCGTGAATAAAATTTGGTTTATATTTCTTATAAAATATTCATTGGTATGATTTTGCTGTATTTTAAATTTTGACTTGGTGAATGAGTTTAATAATCATATGAAAGGTTATTATATTAACGCTTATAGAATCATATTATCCTCAAATATCAAGATTTTAATGATCGTCCTAATTTTTTGTCATTCCTCTGTACTGTTACAGGTTAGCAACCGATTATAGGAATTAGTTGCTAATCTGTAACTTGGATGAGAAAAATGAATTAAACTAAAGTTATTTTATTTATTAGTTTTTCAAGATTCTGTACCAATATCTGCGGATATTGTTGTGTTTAATTATCAATTTGGTTTCATTTACGTGTTTCACAAATATTAACAATGCGTTCACTTTTTCTGGACTAAAAGCGTAAACTCTTAAATCGTAGTCATCAAAACAATTATCTCACTTTTCTGAATCAAAATGACAAATCCTTCAAATCGTATTCACCTCACTTTTTCTGGATCAAAGTGGCAAACTCCTCTTTGTAATAATGAATTTAATTATTGGGATGGAGGATGAAAGAGCACCATATAAAACTAATTGTACACAAGTAAGTAATTATATTTTAAAGTTTTTTTTATTGTTTTATTACTAATTCTTCTGCCTATTCTCTAATTGCTCTTTCTAACTCTCATTATATACATTTTTGGCTTCCTATTTACGAT